TGTAAATAATTTGTATCGGGATGATGTGTTAATTACTATTGTTCGTGTGATTGTTCTTGTTGGTAATGATATCAAACATTGTTAATATCATTTTGTTATTATTAATTTGATAATTGTTATTATAGCTATGACGATATATATTTTTTTCTTTTTCTTTTCTGGTGATTATTATTATCCCCATCTTTACATTCTTCTTGTTTTTTTCTTCTTCCTGTTATCCTTCACCTTTTTCACTCTCCTCCTCCTTTCCCTTTTCATCCTTAACCTTATTTCCTCCTCTTCCCCATTCCTCATCCACCCCTTCCTCCTCCTCCTTTCGTAACGGTCACCAAGCCTGCCAGCTGATCAAATATCTGAAGAAATCTCTAATTCAATACTCACAAGGCTAGAAAATTAACTGACCTTTGATGTACATTAAAAAAAAAAATCAGGTAACTGAGGTCGTGACAGGAGAAATGTGTTAAAAGTTTCCAGTCACATTCGCTTCGCCTTTTCCTCGCTTTTGAGCTCACGTGCGCCATCTTTCGGGAATTCGAGTAATTACCGGGAAGCGATCGCGGGGTTATTAGATTTCTTCTCTCTTCTTTTCTTTTGTAATTCTCTCTCTCTCTCTCTCTCTCTCTCTCTCTCTCTCTCTCTCTCTCTCTCTCTCTCTCTCTCTCTCTCTCTCTCTCTCTCTCTCTCTCTCTCTCTCTCTCTCTCTCTCTCTCTCTCTCTCTCTCTCTCTCTCTCTCTCTCTTCTCTCTCTCTCTCTCTCTCTCTCTCTCTCTCTCTCTCTCTCTCTCCTCTTTCTTTTTTTCTCTCTCTTTCTTTGTCTATCTATCTATCCATCTTTCTATCTATTTATCTATCCATCCATCTAGCTAGCTAGCTATTTATCTATTCTTTTCAATCTATCTTCTTTCACTATTCCTTAATAATTTCTATTTCCATTTCTATCTTTACTCTCAGTTCGAGAAGTTAGATTAGAAAACAAAACAAAACAAAACAGAGATATAAGAAAATAGAAAAAAATAAATAAAATGAAAAACAAATAAAACCGTCCCGTAGTTTTCCAGAAGTTCACGTTTAATCGCCTTTCGACATTCTGGTTTGGCTCCGCGACGCCTAGTCATCCTGTCTGACGGAGCATTTGGCTACTCACTCTGACGGGAAGTGCGTGCCGTTCGTGCGGCCGCCGTGCTTTGGCCTGAAAGAGGATGTACAGTGAAATGTGGAAATTAATAGAGATAAGTAATGGGATGTGTGTAAGGTCATGAACGCAAGATAGGGCACAGCGACCTTATAGCAAACCCTAAATGGTTAAGTTTCAGAATAATAGATGACGTAACGTAATACATGTAAATGGTGCTTGTGGAAGCGATTCCTCAAATGTATGTGTGTGTGTGTGTGCATGCATATGCATACTTGCATACATATTATATATATATATATATATATATATATATATATATATATATATATATATATCTATATATATATATATACATATATATATATATATATATATACATATATATATATATATATATATATATATATATATATATAATATATATATATATATATATATATATATATATATATATATATATATAATATATATATATATATATATATATATATATATATATATATATATATATGTATGTATATATATATATATATATATTATATATATAATAATATATATATATATATATATATATATATATATAATACAATATATATATATATATATATATATATATATATATATATAATATACTATTATATATATATATGTGTGTGTGTGTGTGTGTGTGTGTGTGTGTGTGTGTGTGTGTGTGTGTGTGTATATATATATATATATATATATAGTATATATATATATATATATATATATATATATATATATATATATATATATATATATATATATATATTATATAGATGTGTGTGTGTGTGTGTAGATGTATTTATGTGCGTAATTTATGCGCCGCACGTGTGAAATATGAATAAGAATAATAAGAAAAAAAAAAGAACAAGACAAAAAGCTACGAAAAGAAAAACGAGCACAAAAAGAGAGTCATTTCTCCCCCGATATACTGTTTTCGAACCTGTTTTCGCAACACACAACGCTGAATAGAAACTGATTAATCACGCCAGACTTTTGCAACACTGCGTTCACAAGTCCCGTATCTCATTATGCCGTCAATGTGGCATGTTCAAAATTCATGCCTTGGAGTATTTTGGCCCAAAAAGATGATTTTAAGGAAGTGAATTGTTCTTCATTTTTGTTTTAGGTTTGATGGTTTCACTTGGTTTGATATTGTTGAAGAAAATCAGGAGCGAGGGAAGGCGAGAAAGAGAGAGAGAGAGAGAGAGACAGAGAGAAGTATTGAGAAAGAAAGAGTAGTATAGGATGGAATCCACAATAAATTGAAATGAAATTAGCATGATGCGACTCCACCCACACTCCTTCCCCCTCCCCCCTCTCCCTCCCCCTCCCTTCCCCTCCCCTCCCCCTCCCCCTCCCACTATCCCTCCCCCTTCCCCCATCAACTACCTCCCGTACCCCCCCTTCTACCCCTGTCTTCCTATTCCATACCACTTCTCCATCACGCTAACCCTTCCCTTTTCCCTAATGCCAACCCCTATCCCTCCCCCCTACCCAATGCCAACCCCCTCTTCTCTATTCCCCTTTCCATCACCCAACCCCCTAGACCCCTTACCTTACCCCTTTCACCTATCCTTCTATCCTCATCCCCTACTCTTTCCCCCCACTGCCAAGCCCTTCCCAACTCCTCCCCAGCTACCCAACCGCTACCCCTTATCCTCCTACCCCCAATTCCATCCCCTACCCCTTCCCCAACCCCCGAAAACAATCCCTTCCTCCC